ATTTTTATATTTCCTTTTAATAAAATTTATAATCCTTCATGAGGTCCTGTATATTGATTTCCTAGTTTTTTAGGTTTGGGACCTTGTAGTAAGAATTATTTAAACATTGTTTAAACAATTTATTTTGTTAATTTTTTCATTTACTATAGTTAAAATTATAAATTCTTAATTTTTCACAATTGTGTAAGTTTTTATAACTTAAACACCTAAGTATAATATAAAATCTAAAAATTTATATTATTTAACCATTGTTTAAACAGTTTATAGTTTTCAACTTTTCAATTAATTGTATTTAAAAAAAATTAGAAATTTCTAACCTATAAATAAAAATTTCTAACCCTAAGTACAGTTTATGAAAAAAATAGCAACAATTAATTGTTTAAACAATGTTTTATTAAATAATTGTTTTTTATCATCAGTAGATATATTACTCATGAAAAATTGTACAATTGAGAAGAAACTAGTAATTTATAGACATAAGTACTGTTTATAAAAAATATCCACAATTAATTAATTAAACAGTGTTTAATTAATTTATTTTTTATCAATCAAACATTATTTTAATAAGTTTTTTGATTAATTTTCTTAATCAATGAAACTATCAAAAAATATATTTTACGATTTTATGATTTTTTTTTAATACTTATTTGTTATTTAAAAAATGTTTAAAAACAAAAATTCAAAAATAAGGCTTGAGAGATAGATAGAGAATTTAATTACGAAGACTTAGAAAAAAATAAAAAGCGTTTTGGTAAAGAATTGTGACCTGTAGAGTCATTTGAAACGAAACTTGCGCCGCCATAAGTGAATACATCAAGTCCCGGCACGCCGGGCTGGACACTTAATTTTTTTTCTCGTAAAGTTATTGTTGTCCCATAATTAAATTTACAGGAAGTATTCCTTACTTTATTGACAATATTTAGAGTAAAGGGGGGTAATGTAGTGCACTGGCTTTACCGACTAAACGAATGAATCGAATTACTTGCTGTTGGTATGGTAGGTTTAAAGTATCAAAGTATATTAATGTATATCATTTTGGGTTTATTGTGTTTCTTCTAAAAGAAGTTGTGGCGTCACTTCAAAAACATTAGATTTCGAAACCATATTTCCGTTTTTAGTGACTTGAAAAAAATGTAAGGCTCGTACCGTTAAAAAAGTATCAGGTAAGTGCTTTTTCCATGTAAAATTTACTTCTGAACACAAATTTATTATTGTTTTGACGTTTAATTTTGTTTTTATTGAGATATTGAAATCAACGTGAAGAAAGTGCTTGGGGGCATTGTAGTGCACAAGGTTAAGGGCAATGTAGTTCAACTATACAGAGTACCGTAAATATGTATTATTTAACCATGTTTGCTTTTTGCAAATTTTTGCTGTTTTCTTTCAGTTTTATCTAACACAGGACCAAAGAAATCTCTAGTTTATAGTGCTGTTCACGAGACGAGATGATACCGCATGCAAAGTCTCGATCTCGTCTCGGTGTTTACGTGCAAAGTCTCGTCTCGTGGGCATCACTACTTGTTTTATAGTTTTTTAAGTTTCTTATGTTCCTAATATTATATCTAATAAAATAAAATCGTTTATAATATATTCTCTGCTTTTTATTTCACTAATAAAGTGGTGCACTACATTGCCCCACAAATTTTAGAATGTCGAAAAAAAGTGCCTTCAGTTTTTTGGATATAGAAAAGCTCCATCTACACATACAAAAAAATAATGTACACCAGAAATGTAGCTAGAAGCATTGTCTTTCCAACGAGTCCTTATTGATCAAAATTGGTTCAAAATTGCGACCACAGGAGTCTTCGAAGGAAAAGTGCACTACATTACCCCCTTTTACTCTACAAAAAAAAAATTTCAAATCAAATATATTTTTTCCAAAATTTGAATTAAAAAATTTTTTTTAAATTTTTTTCGGGCAAAAAAATGTGTTTTAAAAATTTTCATTTTTTTCTTTAAAGTACTTTTTATTATGATATATTTTCCAAAAAAAATTATCTTAATCGGTTAAAAGGAAAAAAGTTATGTTTCTTTTTTGAAAAACCGACCAAAATTTTGAGTAAGAGGTAACTTAAAAAATTTTGAAAATTTTTATACACTTTTATTCCTTGTATAAAAAGGAACAAATTCTGAAAATATTTTTAACCTTCACAGGCTCGAGCCGGGTCCTTCGGACCCGGAGGAAAGTTTTTTTGATCTACTTCCGGTTAGGAAAATATTATTGGAAAATCAACTTCACATTAGGCTTGAGGACGTAAAAACATACATTTTTCACCAGTATAAACAATTTTTTATTTATTAAATTCTCTGGTAAAATTAACTTGTAAGTCGAACATACGTAAGGGCTCAAGGCGGGTCCGAGGGACCCAGGCTATGAAAACAAATTTTTAAATTTCCATTTTTTATACAATATTGAATTTATTTATGGAATTTTTATCAATAACTGACATAATTAGTGATAACATATGCTTAATACATCAATGAATTTAATAGAACAAAAATACAAATTAGAAAAATCTTCCTTAATAAGTATGTAGTTCGATTTATTCAAAATGACTCATTAAATTTATTAAACAAATTTTAGTTATAACTTGATTACTTTTTAATACTTAAAATTTTGTATCCAATTATATCATTAAAATTGTACTAAATATGGAAAATATGAAGAACTTTGCTATTAAATCTTATTTTTTATTGCATTGAAACATCCGGGTCCCTCAGACCCACCTTGTGTGCGCATTTCAAAAATCGAACTCGAGCCTGTGAGGGTTAATATTGCTAAAATCATCGAAAATTCTTATGATCACTTGGCGTGGAATTGCTCATATGTGACAGTTAACTTAATAATATTCACTTCGACTGTATTCTATACCTACTGAAATGACATGGAAAAATTCAATGACCCAGAGAGCCTAATCATTCCCTACAAAAAGGTATTTGTCTTAAACACTAAACAACTGCAAGGAGTGAGATTCTGCAAACATATGCAGAATTTCGTTTCCGAATTCGCTTGTACATCCTACATCGATTTTTGTATTTATTGCATAAAGCATAAGTTGAAATAAAATTAAAAAACTGCACTGGATATGCACGATATGCACATTGGAATGACTGATGTTTACGACTAACGCGCTTTATAGCGTTTCACTACGCACGAGAATGCGACCTCCTTATAGAAACAACCCGCTTACTCATGAATGCATTAAGGGTGCGTTTTCACTTGCACAAAAATGCGACGCACGCTGTGCGAGAATCATTCTACTTACGAGCGCATTATGAGTGGCATTTATTGTGTGCTTGTGCACTCATAACGTGCGACACTTTTTTCAGATACTTTGTGCAACAAAAATGAAGCTAATTAAGGTGCACGAATACCCGCAAATAATGCGTCTCTTATCATGCGACTAACGTGCGTCGCACGATTGTTATCTGGGCAGCTTGGCTTTCAATAAAAGGTTGATATTTATTATTATACACTGGATCTGAGTCTTTTTCTGATTCTTCTTGCAAAGAAATTTGTTTTTTAGGTCTTCCTTTTTTTTTAGTTACTGAGTCTTGATCATTTTTTAAATCAATTTTGCGCGGTCTTCCTCTTTTCTTTTTTAATTTTTGAATTTCGACGTCTTCATTGTAGTTTATATTTCGCAATTTTTCGCGATTACGCAGATTTCGACCATTTTCTTTCTTGTTATTTTTTTAATAAGGCTTGCTTCTTCAGCTGCAGACACGGTGTTGACGTTTATTGTCTTGTTTGGTTCTTTCTCAATTTTATCATAATTAATATCTTCTTCACAAATTAAATCGTTATTACTTTTTATGCCATTATAGTTACCTGTATTGCCATCATCATCATTATCATAGTCATCATCGTTGTCATCTTCGTTGTTTTCTGTTTCGCCATCATTTTCTTCTTCTTCTTCTTTTTCTTTATCTTCTTCATCATCATCTGCATTAACGTTCATTTTACCTGCTTTATACATCATTTCGAAATCATATTCCGATAGTTTAAGTTTCCATCTTGTAACTCGAGAGCAAGGATCACTTGAATTTTGAAACTATAATAATGGTTTATGATCAGTAACAATTGTAAATTTTCTTCCATAGAGAAAATGTATGAAGTGTAAGACACAGTAGACAATTTCAAGGGCTTCTTTATTATAAGTGTCGTATTTTACTTTATGTTCATTCAAAGATCTTGATGCATAGGCGATGGGTTTATCCTTTCCTATTTCTCCTTGAGATAAAATCCCACCTAAAGCATAACCTGACGCATCTGTTGTTAAAATGAAAGGTTTGTCAAAATCTGGCCTCTGTAATAATACTGCATTTGTGTTGCTGTGACAGAATACTGTTACGTTCATGTGTAACAGTGACAGAAAACTACTGCCTATATATAACTGTTAATAAAATATATATAGTTTTAAATCGTACTGTCGTTTGTAAAACTTAATATAATACAATGGATTAGACATTAAATTAAATATTAGAGCAATATTAAGCAATAGCTTAATCGTGAATAATCTTTTAAAAAAATTTTAATACAAAACTGTTCTGTGTATATCGTAGTTTTTTTCATTTATAATTAGTAATATTACTATTTTAAAGAAAACAAATTATAATTTTTTGAAAGGTTTCCTGAAATTTTCTGAGGTTTTTGCATTCAAGCTTATTAGTTGATCCAACAAAGCGAATAATAAAGGACTTCCCGAGATTATTAGTAATTTTAAGATCCATTAAATATAAGCGGAATAAATTGAGGTATGGGTCTTTCAATGTAGCGAAATTAGGTTTGCATCTTTTTTAAAGCATATTCTTTTTGTCATTGCAAATGATTTTAATAATTTTTTTTAAGAATCTTCGTATTTTTTTAATGTTATAATAAACTTATGAATCTTTGAAGTAAAGCGGTAACTTTAAAAATGATCCAAAGAAGGGCATTAGCATTATTAGTGTTTTCCTTGTTGTCAATTTTTATAAAGTCTGAAACTGTTGATCCAGTGATGTATTCAAAGCAGGAAATTTCTACAACCGAAACCGAAAGTAATAAAGTTGATATGTGGTCATCCACAAACTCGCCGTATGTTAAACAAATTAATTCTAATGTTCAAGCCGTTAGGACGCGTCTACCAATTATTTACGATCCATATTTTAATGGTAATATCTTAACAAGTATTAATTTTCTTTCTACTATAATCTACTGTTACTAATCTTAATTTAAAATTTTTTAATTTATTTAATCTACTTTCAATAGTACAAACAAATAGACTCTCAAATCCAAATTAAACTCCAAATTTTCACATTAAATTTACTAAAAAGGAACATGTAATTATAAAGTATCAAGAAAAGTGCATTAATTTATTACGGCAGGTACCTAATATAAATTTTGAATGGTTTCGCTTGATAATTGTTATTCAAGAAGCTTTGTTATTGTTAAATACACATTTGATATTATATTTAAAAAATTCAAAACGTTGAATCCATTAGGGTAAGTCCGGGGGCCATAGGTTTTTTAAAGCACTGTAAAAATTATAAGATAGCGATTTTTGTCTAAACTTTTATTGATAATTAAATTTCAACACTTAACTTTAAATTATTTAAACCGTATCTAGGCCTTCTCATTACTCTACAAACTTTACTTTAAAGTAACGAAAAATAAAATATTTTCATAGGAAAAATCTCAAAATTAAAATTCTTTAAAAAGTGCATGTGGCCATCTCTCCCAGAATGTCCGTGAGGCTTTTAGCTTAAACTTAATTTTTAATCGTTCAAATTACTTTTCTCTTATTCTGGTCGCATTTTGAATACTTATCATGAGATTCAGTGCCGTTTTCATGTAGCCAATAATTTTAAATACTGCACTGAATCCAATTTTTAATTAATGTCGTTTGATTGTAACTTTCGCCTCAACCTACAAACGGATTTCCATCTCTGATGTCAATTAGATCAATTATTATTATGTACCCATGCACTATGGGGTACATTCCCTAAATTGTGGCCAAAATTCAAATTTTTCAATAGATTTAAAATTTTTTTCTCATTTGAAATTGGTTGTTTATATATTAGAGTAGCAGAAACCGGGTTTTATTTTGGAAAAGCAATTATTTTTGTTTTTATATTTACTGTCAAACTTACCAAATGTTTGAATACTTAAATTTTTATACAAAAATAGCTTTCAAAAAGTGAGTTTCAAAGTGAGATTTATTGATTAAAAATGGGTAAATTAATAAAAGAAAATAATTAATGCAGTATACTGCAACAAATATCATACATATTTACATAATGTAATTATAATTACATTATGTAAATATGTATGATATTTGTTCAAGTTTAATAAACAAATAAACATGATATTTGTAACTTAACCAAAAAATAATAAACGTTTTTAGTTATTCAATTTTGAATAGACTTATAAAATTTTGGGTGCTTCTGTTTGCTTAAATTCTTTTACAGATGTATAACAAATTTGACTATAAATTTACTGTTCTTTCGCCATTCTGCGATTTTTTGCGATTTATAAAATATTTTATATTTTGTAGACACGAATCTGATAAATTTTTATAAAATTTTTCGCTATATTAAATCCATTATTTTGGATTTTTAAAAACTGACAACGGAATCATAATCAGGGAGCCCAGAAACACCCAAGTTACAAAATTTACTTAAATCTGGTAATTTTTAAAAAAATTTCAGCCTTATTGGATCTGCCATTTTCAATTTTTAAAAACTGACATCAAATTCGTAATCAGAATCACCAGAAATCCTCGAGTTAAAAATTTTTATGTAATTTTAAATTAAATTTGAATTTCTTCCACGATTTTGGTAAAATGCCCCATAGTGCCATGCAAAAAAATGTAAAAGGATTACACTAACATTTTCATTAGTTTTCAACAATTTGTTGCTTACATTTATTAGTAGGCACAAAAGTTTGAAGAATAACCCATAATAAGTGATATTTCTTTACAAATTCTGTAATAGTGCATCAAGGGAGGTAAGTCCGAGTTTATATGCCGAGCGCAATATTAAAGAACGAGTCGTAGCATGAGCGAAGCGATTGCGAAGACGAGTTCTTCAATATTGTGCAGAGCACATAAATGAGGCGTATTATAGACACTCTATGCTACCTGTACCTATGCCTATTATTGAAATAGGCAGTTTTAAAAATTAGTAAACTTGTGATTTATTTCGCTTAGGGTGTCAACTTCAATATTCCGATGTGATAAAGAATTTTAAATCTTACATAAATTTATTATAAACAATTTTTTTGTGAATGTCATGTGTGTACAGTGAGTGCGGCTTTATTGAACCACCCAAATTTACAGCGTATTTTCAATTTTAAGAGTGGTAAAGTAGTCTGCTCTACTAACTAGTAAGAAAAATACTGAAAGACATGCTTTCATCACAATTATCAACGTGATAAACTTAAACTGTCACTTTTGCTACCTAACCTGACATCGAAATATATTAATCTCCTATATTGACAAATAATAACTATTTAACAACAAATTTCGATTTTTTTGAGTGGAAAATAAGATTTTTTACAATGTGTAAGTGGAAATATTATTTTCGAAGTAAATTGTAGTGTTTTATTAGAGGTGGTAACTGGTTACAAAAAAATTTAATTTAATTATTTAATCAGAATAATTTGTGTTTGTAACGTGTGTATTAACTAAAGGAGTACTTCAGTTTTATTTTAATACAAAAACCTAATCAAAATTTGTAAAATTTATTTAGTTCTTGGACTTTATAAAAAACCCGGTTCAATTTAGCATACCCTCCCCTACTTTATTGACCTGCGAGCGGTCAATAATGGGAACTTTATTAATAACTGGGTTATAAAAGGGAACTTAGTATGGGCCTGTACAAGTAGATAAAGTGACCATAATACGCCTGAGTTGCATAAAATATTTGAACTGGTCATCTCTCTCATATGGTCATCTCCCTCAAAAGATTGTCCACAAAATAAATCGATGAGGGGCTCTGTTCACCAAATCTGGTGTACTATGGTTAGGATTTATATTTAATACTTCTATGCAAATTAATTCTACTCTATGAAACTCTACGCATTTAGGATTTTTACTGCTTTAGAGTTATAGAATTATAGAATTTATAATTAAACTAAAAAAAATGTTATTAAAATTAAAACAAACATTTCTTTTGCGTAGCGGTTTTAAAAAATCTATTTATTAAAATGTATTTATTTTTTCAGAATTATCTGATGTTTAATTTAATGGCGTAGAGTTAACAATTTATAAAGAATAAAAAAAATATTTTATCATGCGTAGAATTTATTGGTGTAGTATTTAATCCTGACGAATTTAAAAAACCGGACAGGTGCGAGTTGAACTGAATTTTTCTTAAAGTCTAAATATAAAAATATATACAAATATAAATCAGCAAAAAAAATATATAAAAAAAATTTTTTACGACTTTCGAGTAAGCGAGTTGCAATTGATTATAAGAATTTGATTTGACCCTCATTTTGTTTAACATTTTGTTCTTTCTACTTTGTTTTTGTAGTTTTGGGTGTCTTTTCTGGTCGGTTAAAATTAAAGAGTAAATAATATTGTATGTTAATAGTATAGAGTACCTATCATAAGTTAAATATATATATTAAATTTTATTTAAGAGAAATGGATTGGTTTGTTACTCTCGGTATTCTATTCTAAATACCCCTCCCCCTCACAAAAAATGTCCATACATGAAAAAGATTGTTTGCGCCGTCCCTGTTGAGAACCATATAAAGATCAGCTCCAAATATTTTTGCTATATTATTCCTAAAATCTACACATGAAAATACATAAATAATGCAAAACTGCAGTCCACTAAGCTAAGAATTTTGAGCGCCAGGGGGGTAAAATATTTTTTTACTAAATTGTAAAATATTTCTAGTTTTTCGCTAAAGAAAATTTAAAGATCAACTTCAATCCTTTTCTCTGTATTTTTTCTGTAATCTACACGTGAGAATAAATAAAAATGCTTAACGCCAGTCCACTAGATTAAGAATTGTGAGAACCAGCAAGGGTTAAAGTATTTTCGAGCTTGCAAAAAGAGATTTTAATTTTTCGATGAAAACACCATGAAGATCAATTCCAATCATTTCCACTATATTTTTCCTGTAATCCACGCGTAAAAATACATAAGTATATATGCCAATTTCTAACTCTCTGGGTAAAAAACTGTGGGCGCTAGGGGGGGTACATGCATTATTTTCGAAATTTTCATCAAGTTTTTCGCTGAAAACAATATGACGATCAATACCAAATATGTTCGCTATATTTTTCCTGTATTCAATTTTTAAAAATATACATATGCATACCAATTTTCATCTTTCTAGGTAAAAAACTGTGAGCGCTAGGGGGGGTACAGGCTTTTTTTGCGAAAAACGGCCAAAATTTGATGTTTTTTGCGGAAAACTCTATAAAGATCAATTTAAATCACGTTCGCTATATTTTTCCTGTAATCTACGCGTACATGGTCATTTTTTGCAACCGTTTTAATAAGGTTCCTACCGGGTACGGAACCCAAAAATTAATCAAATTATATTTTAATTAATTAGAATGCGTAGAATGATTATTTTTTGTTTAACATTATTGTGAGAGGATTTTTGTGTAGAGTTTACTGTTGTAAATATTTTTTTTTAACGCTACCACTCCTTGCGCAGGCGCGAGGCGCGTCATTGTTTTACTGCGAATTCGCAGTAAAACAATTTGAGATTGATATGCGTCTCATATCGCTCGCATGTATGAGGTTTCTTTTCGCACTCGTGCCTTCACTAATGCAGACAGATGCGTCCTCATATGAGACGCATTACGCTCGCATGTCATAAAGGTGCATGATGCATGAGAGTGAAATGCGAGTCTTGTGCCTTTTTAAGGATTATTCATCATAAATATATTGTACAAAATTTAATACAAAAACCTAAGGTTAAATTTAAAAATGTTTTATTACAATTTTTTATTTCAATAATATAAACATGGCATTAATAATGAACATTTTTCTCTTTAGTCTTGAACATACATAATCTCCTTAATAACCTATAATAAACATTAGCTAAAATCATTTATATTCGTAATAAATGTAAACTTTTCAACACGAATTCAACAAATATTAACTCTATAATATAATAAATTAACAACTTGAACTGCGTCTAAGAG